TAGCACCTGTCCACTACATGCTGTGCACCTTTTCAGTGTTTTACATGGACTAGCACCTTTTAATCCTCACAACAAACCTATGAATCAACTGAGGCACAGGAAACATTATTTGAAGGTCAAAGCAGGTGAGTCAAGATACAAACTCGGGCCCAGCATGGTAGCTCAGGCCTGTAATCCCAGCACTTTGGGAGGCTGAGGCTGGTGGATCACCTGAGGTCAGGAGTTTAAGACCAGCCTGGCCAACATGATGAAACCCCATCTCTACTAAAAATACAAAAATTAGCCAGGTGTGGTGGCGTGTGCCTGTAGTTCCAGCTACTTGTGAGGCTGAGGCAAGAGAATTAATGGCTTGAATCTGAGAGGTGGAGGTTGCAGTGAGCCGAGATCACACCACTGCACTCCAGCCTGGGTGACAGAGCAAGACTCTGACTCAAAAAAAAAAAAAAAAAGATACAGATGTGGGCATTATGGGCCTGGGAGCCACACCCTAACCACAATCCCACATCGCCTGTCATTTACAGAGCAAAATTCTCCTTTGGGGTTAGGTCTTGTTCTTCAGGAAAAATAAAAAATAAAAAAAGGCTTGCAAAATGTCATGTGTTTCCTGGGAGGATTAAAAGAGCACATCTTTTAGCCATTGTCTTTAGCACCTCTGAAAACAGGCACTTGTCACCACGGAGACCACGAAACCATGAACAGGACAGAACACAAGTACTAAAAGGGGAGTGGGAAGCATTCCCAGAACGTTCCAGAGCAGGGGGTGCCTGCTGGAAAGAGGATGTCAGAGCCCACAGAGGGTGTGGGAACAGCTGGGGTGTCTCTGGTGGGGTGACCGGGAAATGTTACCAGCTCCCCAGCTTTCCAGAGAAAGTACCCATTCTTTGGGACCCAGCTAAGTCCACTGGTAACCCAGAGCGTGGCTGATCTGTGTGAGTTATCTGATGAAACCGCCAGCCTGTACTTATTCCCACACAGGAGGACGCCCGCCAGGCTTCGTCATCGCGGGTACATCTGAGAAGGAACACCTCCTGCTCTTTCTCTGGAGGGTGCTGGGCAGTGATACTACTAAACAGATGCCAAGTGCACAGTGCCCTCTCCCTGCCGCACCTCCTCCCGTCAGCCCTGGCGCTGCTCTTCTTGCTCGCCAACTTTTGGGCTTTTATTTCTTCCTCCCCTAATTCCTAAGGCCAAAATCCAAGTTCATTCAACAAATCTCGATTACGTGGCCTCTTACATGCATGGCCTCATTCCACATGCTATGGGGGAGATAAGAACAGAAATCCTGGTACCTGTGTGCCTAGGTTCAAATCCCAGCTCTACCATCTAATAGCTATCAGGCACTGGGCACATGACTTAGCCCCTCTGCGTGTTTTGCTATCTCTAAAATGGTAATACCTACCTCACTGGCTTGAACCCAGGAGGAGGTTGCAGTGAGCCAAGATCGCACCATTGCACTCCAGCCTGGGCGACAAGAGCAAGACTGTCTCAAAAAAAAGAAGGAGAAGAAAAAAAGAAGGCCAAAGAAAAAAGAGAAACTAGCTACGGAGGCAGAAAAGGGGAGTCAGTGCAGTGAGAGATGAGGCAAGAAGCCAAAGGGATGGAGCTCCACTGCATTTGGAAAACAAGCCTTCAACATAGAAGCGTACATGCGTTTTCCCCAAAACTTAAGCTCTCTGAGGGTGAGAACCTGTAGGTTACATTCTAAGGACCATAGAAATTGGTTGTCCACCTAAGAAACCTCTCCATGGAAATTATGTTGACGTCGTCATTGAAGACGCTCTTTTTCTGGGCTGACACACTTCTATGAAAGTGCTTTCATTTCTTCACCAAGTCTCTGATATTCTCTGACCCCCGTCCGTCCCACCTTGGATGGTACAAAAGTGACAAGAGCATGTCAAAAGTTTTAAAGGGGCTGTTGAAAACCATGAGCTGGGAAACATGTAAGCTAAATATGAGCTTGGGTATTAAAATTAGAAGTAGGTCACAGAAACCCAACCCCACGTATCTGGATCCAGCCCTTGGTGAGTGGGCCCTGGTGTGTCCTTCACAATCCCATCTTTACCTGCGGCTGTCCGGCTGTCACACGGCCCCTTCCCACCTGATCTTTCCTTATCACCTGCACTCTCTAGTGAAGACATCCAGCCGGCAGTCATGCTGGCTGTACACTGCCATTTCCCACAGGTTCTAAATGCCCAGGCTGCCAAGAGGGTTGAGTGTTTACATTTATTTTTATTTTTATGGAAATGGGGTCTCACTATGTTGTCCAGGCTAGCTTTGAACTCCTAGGCTCAAGCAATCCTCCCACACTCTGGCCTCCTAAAGCTCTGGGATTACAGGCATGAGCCACCATGCCAAGCTGGGTGTTTAAAAAAAAAAGTTCTGTGAAGCAGGAGCTGCAAGAAAAAAGAATTAATTCATTAATTAGGGGGAAAAAGCGGAAAGAAAATCAACCAGTAGTAACAGTGATTATCTCCGTCTGAGTGGTGGGATCGCGAGTCCTGTATTTCCTTCCATGCAATTTTTAATATTTTCTGAAATATACATGCATTGCTTTAAGATGAGAAAAAATATTTGCTGTTTTATCGAGAGGCACAGAGGCTGGCAAATAATGTCTGGATCCGTACACCACCGCTGGAGGAACGCAATGGGGGAGCCCGGCAGGCTGCAGGCACTGTGCACACATGGGCTGTCCTGTAGCTTCCTACCAGCCCAAAACACTGAGGTTTCCAGAGCGAGTGAGGCAAAAGGCCCAGATATTTTTCCAATTAACACTCCACGTGTTCAGTTCCAAAGGGTGCTAGGCCAGGGAGGCAAGGCGGACCTTGGCCAGGCTGCAGGCGGCTTGCTGGACTAGGCCTGAGTCAGTCAGTAGAATTCCTGCAGGCCCCATCTGTGGGTGCTGGGAGGGAGGAAAGTGGGTGCCAGCACAGGGAGGTGCCCTACTCACGGTTCATGTCATTTTCTCTTTCTGACATTTCCCTGGGCTGCTTTAAGTGGACGGCAGAGGCCACGCGAGTGCCATTCCGGATTTAGAAAGAAACTGAATGTGCAGAGTGTGAACTGGCCTGCTCTGATCTCCCTGCCGTGGCAGTGGTGGTTCCCAGCCTGCTTTGCGTTTGCCCAAAAGTAACAGTAAAGAGCTCTGACCACTCCTGTTCACCTTAAACCTGGGGCTGCTGTGCTTCTGGGCTTTGGAAGGGGTGGAGGGGTTTCCACATATTAAAAAAGAAAGGGGCACTAGGTCTATGCTGTGACCCCACCCTGCAATGGAATGACACATGGCTATAAAGAATGAGGCCGCTCCACATGTGCCGGGATTGAGGAAGGTTCTTTGGATTTTTTGTTTTGTTTCTGAGACCAAGTTTCACTCTTTGCTGCCCAGATTGCAGTGCAATGGCACGATCTCGGCTCACCGCAGCCTCTGCCTCCTGGGTTCAAGCAATTCTCCTGCCTCAGCCTCTCAAGTTGGAATTACAGGAGCCCACCACCACACCCAACTAATTGTTTTGTATTTTTAGTAGAGGCTGGGTTTCACCATGTTGGTCAGGCAGATCTCCAACTCCTGACCTCAGGTGATCCACCCACCTCAGCCTCTCCAAGTGCTGGGATTACAGGCGTGAGCCACCGCACTCAGTCGAGACAGTTAAAAAAAATGTGGCACAGTGTTATAGTGTGTGTGACTACTATCATTTGCGTACGAGAAAGAAAAGCTTACTACCAGACACCACCTGGAGGGATAAATAGACTGGCAGGGGCTGCCCCTGGGGAGGAAACTGGGGAATAGAGAGTGAGAGCAGAAAAAGATTTTATTAGCTGGGTGTGACAGCACACCCCTGTAGGCCCAGCTACTCCCGAGGCTGAGCAGGGAGGATTGCTTGAGCCCAGGAGTTGGGGTCCAGGCTGGGCAACATAGTAAGACAAAAAAAAGACATTCTTTTCCATGAATACCCTTTTTGTAACTTTTAAATTCCATATTTTTGTTTTTTTTTTTTTTGAGATGGAGTCTTGCTCTGTCACCAGGCTGGAGTGCAGTGGTGCGACCTTGGCTCACTGCAACCTCCACCTCCCAGGTTCAAGTGATTCTCCTGCTTCAGCCTCCCATGTAGCCAGGATTACAGGCATGTGCTGCCACACCCAGCTAATTTTTGTAGTGTTAGTAGAGACGGGGTTTCACCATGTTGGCCAGGATGGTCTCCATCTCCTGACCTCATGATCCACCCACCTCGGCCTCCCAAAGTGCTGGGATTACAGGCGTGAGCCACAGCACCTGGCCGAATTCCATATATTTTTATGGTCTCTGGTCTACATACTCATGTATGAACACATACATGCAGAAGAACGGGGATCACCTGCACAAAGCTATAAACTACTTCCTCATCCTTCTAGCCCCATTCTAGAGGCAAACCCTCCGCCCTCCCCCAGGCACTGCTGTCCTGCTGCCACCCACCTCCACCCCGTGCTGGCCAACAGTGGCCTAATGCTTCCTCTCCATTCCACCCCCTCCCTGCTTCCCATGAGACCACAGAAGAGGATTACTGGTTCCTGCTTCCCTCCGCATGCCTACATTTAGTTATCTAGAGAAGCAATCAATGAATCCACTGTTAATATGCAGACTCCCCTCCCCACGTGGATGCATCTGCATATTAACAGTGAACTTCAGCCAGGAGTGACAGAAAGTGAGGATTTTTAGGGCAAGTGAGGCAGAACAGGGTAAGGGAGGAAAGTGAGCTGTAGTAAAAGGAACAGCAGACCTGAGGGCCAGGAGACAGCAATCTTATTCAGGCTGTGTGCCTTGGAGGTATTAATGTCCTCCAATGAAAGAGAAGGGAGCTGCAACAGATGACCTTTCCAGATGTCACATCCGGCAAAATCCCCCATGCCCTCAGGCCTCACCGATGTGTGCCGTGTGTGCTCCACAGCCCTGTCCAACAGAAATGGAATGCAAGCCACACAGGTCATTTTAAGCATTCTAGTAGCACCACAAAAAAAGTAAACAGAAACAGATGAAATTAATTTTAATATTTCACTTAACACAGCATATCTAAAATATTATCATTTTACCAGGCAATCAATATTAAAAAATCCATTCTTCTTTTTAGTACTAAGTCTTTGAAATCCACCATTTACATTTTGCAGAACGTCTTAACCTGGGCTAGCCACCTGTCGGGGGCTCAAAAGCCCCACCTGATGAATGATTGCTGCCTTGGACAGTGCGGGTATGAGTCAACAGGAAAGCCATCCCTTCACCTTGGACCCCGTGAAGCCCAGAGCTGACATCGGACACGAGCACCAGCCTACATCCTTGGAAAAGGTCAAGGTCACAGGAGCAGTTTGGGTTCTGAGTTCCTTGCCTGATGAGGCAGGCAGCTAGGGCTGGTTACCAGACAGCATTGCAGAGTGCAAGATGGACACACACAGAGAAGCTGCAACCTTACAAGAACACAGGGAACCTCAGGCCGAGTGGAAACAAGGTGGGCATCATCAGGGCGTCTTTACCTTCCGGGCTTTCACAACACAAAATCTCACAGACTCACGAAAGTACACAGACCTCTTGGTGTGTCAGTTACATCAATCCGCTCCTTTAGACACCTGAGCACCTTCCCCCTCCCAGACACCCAATGGGCACTAGGGGGACACTGCTGCTCCTGGGACAGTGACCACTCACAAGAGCTCCTACTCAGGGTGCATCACACACATGATCTCATTTGCTCACCTAAAAAACCCTATAAGACTTACAGATGAGGACACCAGGGCTGAGAAGGTTAAATTACTTCCCAACAGGCACACGTGGCACAGAATAGATCTGACACTGACTTGCACACTGCAACGAGCACTCCCCAACTTTGAAGAGGCACCAAAGACGTTCACAATTACAAGGCCAAGGGGTCACTACTGCAAAAGGGATATGAAACAGAGCCCTGGACACAGGGACGGGTGGAAAGGATTATTTGAGTTAGCCTGGAAGGTGGAGTGGCTCACCAGGCCAAGAGCAGGTGCTAGGCCTTCAGCAGAAACAGCATGAACCGAGGCACAGAGGCCCCAGGGGAGCACGCCGTGGTCAGAAAGCTGTGACGGTCGGGCAGCCGGAAGACCACGCATATAATAAACAGGGGCCCCACATCAAGGGGGAGGCATTAGCCAAACCCATCACATAGGGGCCTTCAATTTCACAAAGAATCTGGATGCCATCCTGTGAGCCATGGGAAGCCACTGAAGCATTTTATCTAGGCTAGTAAGTGGGCCCAGATTTTCATTTTAAGAAATCATTCTATAGAAGGAATCTCAAACCTCACCTGACTGCCTTTCTCCCCCCAGGGTTCTAAGCTCTACTGAAAAGCCCACATAAAAAAGCAGAGATTTGCTTCCTACAGGCTTGAACCATGCCCTAGGGATTTAATTCTAAGGGGCCTGTGAAGTTTGCTTACTTCACCCATTTTTCTAAAGAGAAGCTGTTGACTTGCGACCTTGGAAAATGTACCAATGAAAAGCTAGCAAGCACCTTCTATATTTTTGGCATCACAACCAACCAAGGACCCGGTGCAGGGCAGCCTGCTTGGCCTCTGGCTGCAGAAAGGCCAGCCCCTGCGGGAAGCCCTTCTTCATCCTGACGGCATTCAGTACACTACGATTCCTTGCATACAAACACGTAAGATGCTTGTGGCTGGTGAGAAAACTACGCTAAACATTTCACTCCTCAAATGCAAAGGCCTCAGTGCCGTGCCGCCTCCCTAAGGTTTTACTGTTCGCTGCCTTCAAAGCCCATGTCTCCCCTCTGCCCCGCCCCCCCCCACATCCCTTCCAGCTCACCCGATTACTCAGTTCCATTTTCAGCTCAGCAGCCTCTGAGGCTGGCCTACTTTTCAAGGCCACACGAGCAGAAAAATTTGGGCATTATGCAAACAGAACATAACTAGGACAAAGGCACAAGAAAGGGGGGGGACCTGCATCGGTGTGTACCCAGGAGGCGAGGATACGGGCAGGATCTGGTGAAGTAGCCAATGGACAAGTTTCCAGTGGGGGAGGGAGGGGCTGGCGGGGAAAGATGGCAGAGGCACAGAGCGTAACAGAGCAAGGCTTGGCCAGGACAACCTGGAAAATTGAGCTGAAGACCAAGATACACCAGGCAAGATCACTTTCCCCAGCAATAAGAGCTGTAAGCCTCACTTGGTTTTCCGTAGTCAACCGAGTGGTTCTGACAGTCACGCCCCAGCCTGAACAGTGAGAAGCCTTACGCAGCTTCAAGCACATAGCAAGACCATGAGAACAGCATACTGATACAGAACTAGACCAGTTCTGGGGAGCGCAGTGCAGGCAGGAAGAGGCCCTCTCAGATCGCACTAGCTAATTAAGGTACTGTCCTGTGGGGTGACTCTCAGGGGCATGGTTTTTCATTTTGAGAGAGTCCAGTGGCACAATCTCAGCTCACTGCAACCTTTGCCTCCCTGGCTCAAGCAATTGTCGTGCCTCAGCATCCCGAGTAGCTAGGACTACAGGCGTGCAGCACGCCTGGCTAATTTGTGTATTTTTAGTAGAGATGGGGTTTCACCATGTTAGCCAGGCTGGTTTTGAACTCCTGGCCCCAAGTGATCCACCTGCCTTGCCTCCCAAAGTGCTGGGATTACAGGCGTGAGCCACCACTCACAGTAAAGAGGTGTGTCTGTCAAGAAGTGAAAGGCCAAGTGTCACTCCACCAGGCTCTTTCTGAACTTCCATCTCCATTAACGTCCTGACCTGAAGAACCAACCCCTTGCCTTCGCCAAGATGGAATGTTTCATAGACGCAGTCCGTGTCCCCAAACCCCTCCTTTTCAAGGGGCCTCTGGGTGTCTGGAGAACTGTTCCGGAGGAGCTGTGCCTGCTGGTCCCTATTTGTTTCCATGTCATCTACCATGGCCAGCCGAAGTGGGGTGCAAAGGAGAGGGTACCCAAGCAGCCAGACACAGTGCACCCCACAAGATGAGGCTGGCCCCACTTCCCCAGGGGCGCCTGTGGACGCATCGCTCTGTCACTCCGCTTCTGTTGCCGCAGACTTGAGGAGCAGGGAGGCTGTGGTGCAAAGGGGACCCTCAGTCACGGATGCGGAGCTGGTAGAGGCAAGAAGATGCAGCCTTCCGGATCCAGCGGAAGAGCTGGGCCAGCTTGTAGAGGAAGGGCAGGGAGGAAGGGGAAGCTGCAGGGCAGAGAGAGACTACTGTGAACGTCCTGCCCTTCCAGACTGTCACTCTGCCATCTCCCGCCCTGGCAGACTCCACTGCCTTGCAATTACACATTTGTTTTGTTTAGTTTTTTTTTTTTTTTTTTTTTGAGACAGGGTCTCGCTCTGTTCCCTAGGCTGGAGTACAGTGCAGTCTGTGTTCAGTTCACTGAAGCCTCCATCTCCTGGGCTCAGGTGATCCTCCTACTTAGCCTCCCAAAGTGCTGAGATTACAGATGTGAGCCACCACACCTGGCCTGCTGGGCCAAGGCACGGTTTTTATTTTAGTTTTTTGAGACAGAGTTTCACTCTGTCACCCAGGCTGGAATCCAATGGTGTGATCTCGGCTCACTGAGACCTTCGCCTCCCGGGCTTCAGTGATTCTCCTGCCTCAGCCTCCAGGGTAGCTGGGACTATAGGCACATGCCACCACGCCCAACTAATTTTTGTATTTTTAGTAAATAACAGGTTTCGCCATGTTGGCCAGGCTGGTCTCAAACTTCTGACTTCAGGTGATTCACCTGCCTTGGCCTCCCAAAGTGCTGGGATTACAAGTGTTGCCCAGGATGGAGGGCAACGGCACAATCTCAGCTCACTGTACCCTCCCCCTCCCGGGTTCAAGCAATTCTCCCTGCCTCAGCCTCCCTAGTTGCTGGGATAATAGGCACGCACCACCACACCTGGCTAAGTTTTGTATTTTTAGTAGAGACGGGGTTTTACCATATTGGCCAGGCTATTCTTGAACTCCTGACCTCAGGCGATCCACCCACCTAGGCCTCCAGAAGTGTTGAGATTACAGGGGTGAGCCACCGCGCCTAGCCTATTTTCCACATTTTCTAAAATGTATGAGTATTTCATTTACAACTTGTTTTGAATTAATACTTCATTAGACATTAACACTTGAATTCACACTTTTGTAGACATTCTGATGAGGGGAAGTTTTTTTTAAATTCTGAGGTTCCAGTCAGAGTTCAGCCCAGAAAAATCAGAGGGCTACAGTCTGTGTCCATGAGTCAGCGGGCTGAGTAGACTTTCTCTCGACTGCTCTCACAGACTCCAGGGCTGGTCTCTCCTTCCAAGTGGAGCTGACCCATACCCAGTCCAGCAATTCCTCCCTGTGGAACAGACTCAGGGGGAAATGTCACAGGAGAGACCCCCAGCCCCAGTAGGACTCTGACAGGCGCAGTGACAAGCACCCACTCCCACAGGCCCAGCCCTGACAAGGACCCCTTCCCAGGAAGGATGGGGGACAAGTCTCCACCACTTACCTGGATCAAGCCTCAGCGCCAGGAGACAGAGGATCAAGGCAGCCAGAAGGCTCTTTTTGAAGGGCAGAGAAAAGAAGTGGCTCACCGCGGAGTCCCAAAGCTGACGAACCAACATCGGTAGTGACAAGACCTTTTGGGACACAGAGCCTGGCCAGGAGACAGAGCACGCTTCAGGGAAGTCGAGGGAGTCAGTGTCCCGGACTCCGACCTCTGTGCTTGCTTCTAATAGCTCAGCACGAGGGCACTAAGTACCGGCTAAAGCCTCCACAGCTTCACTGGGGACACTCTTGCAAAGCTCATGCATAGAAATTGTCTTCCTTAGGCATATTACTTATTCTGAGTATATATTATTTACAATATTGAATGTATCTTTGTAAAAGTTTTTTAAAACCTTTCAGAACAAGATATGAAATACATAAAAAGCATTGTGTTATTTAAAAAAAACAGTGAACAGAGAAATATAAAATACTTTCAAAATCTAAAAAGGGCACTTGTAGTACAAGGGAAAAAAAAAACCTTTACTTTAAAAAAAAAAAAAAAAAGCAGGGCTGGGCGCGGTGGCTCACGCCTGCAATCCCAGCACTTTGGGAGGCTGAGGAGGGCGGATCACAAGGTCAAGAGATGGAGACCATCCTGGCCAACAAGGTGAAACCCCGTCTCTACTAAAAATGCAAAAATTAGCTGGGCATGGTGGCACACGCCTGTAGTCCCAGTTACTGGGGAAGCTGAGGCAGGAAAATCACTTGAACCAGGGAGCCGGAGGTTGTAGCAAGCCAAGATCGTGCCATTGCACTCCAGCCTGGTGACAGAATGAGACCCCGTCTCAAAAAAAAAAAGTCCCCTCGGAGCACTACAATCCCCACACTCACCCTGCACCACCCCACACCACCTTGCATCATGCTAGCCAGGCATACAGTATTGGTCTTGACATGGATTTCCCCTAGAGGCCATTTTGGAGAGCTGCACCCTAGTGGGCAGAGTGTACATCAACCATTGAAGAGAACGTTCAAGAGCTTTGCTGAGGTCAAAGAGGAAGCTGGGCAGGCTGAAGAGGCGTAATTTTTGTCTTGAAAGTCAAAGTACCAAATAAGTTTCCTATTTCCTTTGGTATCCCAGCAGATCTCAGCTGTGTTTGTTTTGGGGCCAGCATTTAAAGAGGAAGGACATCCCACCCAGGCCAGTATGATAGAAGAGACCCAGTCAGAGGACTCCAAGGGGAAAATGACTTTCAAAAGACAAGTCAAGGCCCCAAGACCCAGCGACACCTTCCCAGGCGGGGAGTGTCCTTCCATGGCCAACCTCAGGGGGTCTGGGTTTCACTTCGTTAGGCAACTCAATAGGCTTCCTCTTCTGTGATCCAAGCGTTATTCAGATAAAGAACTGCTCCTAAGCTCCCAGGAGTTTCCCGATGAACCCTGAGGTACAGGGCAAGCCCACAACTCCACTTCGCAGAGGTCACAGAGGGAGAATGTCCTACCTTCCGGGTTTGGCTTCGGGGCCTCCTCAGAGCCTGGGTGTTCCTGCTCCTGCTGCTGCCTCGCTGCGTCAATGGTCTGAAGTATGTCCAGTCGCTGCGCTTCCCCAAAGGCTGCAGAGCCCACCACCAGCTCCTCTGCCTCCGACAAGCGGCCCAGAGGCAGCAGCACCCGCTGCACGTGGAATTCTGCCAAGGCTCCATATTCTGGAAGGTCTTGGTTGGCTGGGTCTTGGAGCCAGGCACCCACCACATCCAGCACAGCTCCAGGCTCTTGCATTTTGCTGTATAAAAGAATGCTGCAGTCCCAAAACAACCCAACCCCAACACAAGAAGAGTCAGTGCTCAATGAGTGGTTCATTTCTCTTGACCGCTATGCTTCCCCTATCCAACCCTCCTCACTGTGTCCTCTAGGCCTTTCCGATGCAGTGTTGACGCTAATGGGAATTCCCCATGACAAACCCATCACCAACAGCATACTCCATGGGAAAAGCTGAAAGTCTCTCCTCTAAGATCAGGAAAAAGGCAAAGATGCCTACTTGGACCGTTTTCATTCAACTGGAGGTCATAGCCAGAGTAATTAGGCAACAGAAGGAAAGAAAAGGTATCCGAACTGGAAAGAAGAAAGTCAAATTATCCCTGTTTACAGATAATAAGATCTTATATATGGAAAACACTAGAGACTCCACCAAAAAAGAGAACTAATGAACAGATTCAGTAAGGTTGTAGGATACAAAAATCAATGTACAAAAAACAGCATTTGTGTGTGTGTGTGTGTGTGTGTGTGTGTGTGTGACGGAGTTTCGCTCTTGTTACCCAGGCTGGAGTGCACTGGCGAGATCTCAGCTCACCGCAACCTCCGTCTCCTGGGTTCAGGCAATTCTCCTGCCTCAGCCTCCTGAGTAGCTGGGATTACAGGCACGCGCCACTGTGCCCAGCTAATTTTTTGTATTTTTAGTAGAGACGGGGTTTTGCCATGTTGACCAGGATGGCCTCGATCTCTTGACCTTGTGATCCACCCGCCTCGGCCTCCCAAAGTGCTGGGATTACAGGCGTGAGCCACCGTGCCAGGCCCAAAAAACAGCATTTCTATATGCTATAGTGAACCACTGGAAAAAGAGATCAAGAAAACAATTCCGGCCAGGCACAGTGGCTCACATCTGCAATCCCAGCACTCTGGAAGGCCAAGGTGGGTAGATCACAAGGTCAGGAGTTCGAGACCAGCCTGGCCAACATGGCGAAATCCCATCTCTACTAAAAATACAAAAAAAAAAAAAATTAGCCAGGCATGGTGGCGCACTCCTATAATCCCAGCTACTCAGAAGGCTGAGGCAGGAGAATTGCTTGAACCTGGGAAGCAGAGGCTGCAGTGAGCGAAGATCGAGCCACTGCACTCTAGTCTGGGCAACAGAGCAAGAGTCCGTTTAAAAAAAAAATTCCGGCCGGGCGCGGTGGCTCACGCCTATAATCCTAGCACTTTTGGAGACCTCAGGGTGGATCACTTGAGGTCAGGAGTTCAAGAACAGCCTGGCCATCATGGTGAAACCCCATCTTTTTTTAAAAAAAATAATAAAAGAAAAAAAAATTCCATTTACAATAGCTACCAAAAAAATAAGATACCTAGGAATAAATTCAACCAAGCTGGTAAAAGATCTCTACACTGAAAACTGTAAAACATCAATGAATGAAGTTGAAGGGGACACAAAAAAATAGAAAGATATTCCGTGTTCATTCACAAATTGGAAGAATATTATTAAAATTCCCAAAGCAATCTACAGATTTAATGCAATCTCTATCAAAATACCAATGGCATTCTTCAAAGAAACAGAAAAAACAATCCTGAAATTCATATGGAACCACAAATGACCCCAAATGGCTAAAGCAATCGTGAGCACAAAACAAAGCTGGAGGTATCATATCACCTGACTTCAAACTACACTACAGAAAGCTCTAACAGTAACCACACAGTATGGTATGGCATAAAAACAGACAAAACGGAACAGAACAGGGAGCCCAGAAATAAATTCATGCACCTAGAGTCAACGGATTTTCAACAAAGGTGCCAAGAACACACACACGGGAAAGGCAGTCTCTTCAATAAATGGTGCTGGGAAAATCAGATATCCATGTGCAGGAGAGCAGACCCCGACTTTCCCCACATGCAACACTTAACCCAACCTGTGTTTACATTAAAGACTGAAATGTAAAACCTGAAACTATGAAACTACTGGAAGAAAACGTAGGAGAAATGCCTCACAGCACTTCTTTAGAAAACCCTGAGCAAGGGCTTTCCTAAATGACACTTTAAAAGCACCAGTAACAAAAGCAAAAATGGACAAATGAAATTACATCAAGCTCAAAACTTCCGCAACACAGCAAAGGAAGCAATTAAGAGTGAAGAAACATATTCTCTGCATAGGTGAAAAAATAACATAAATAAATAAATAAAAGAGTGAAGTGGGCCAGGTGCTGTGGCTCAAGCCTGTAATCCCAGCACTTTGGGAGACCGAGGCGGGTGGATCACGAGGTCAAGAGATCAAGACCATTCTGGTCAACATGGCGAAACCCCGTCTCTACTAAAAATACAAAAAATTAGCTGGGCATGGTGGCGCGTGCCTGTAATCCCAGCTACTCAGGAGGCTGAGGCAGGAGAATTGCCCGAACCCAGGAGGCGGAGGTTGCAGTGAGCCGAGATCACGCCACTGCACTCCAACCTGGGTAACAAGAGCAAAACTCCGTCTCATAAAAAAAAAAAAAAAAAAAGGAGTGAAGAAACAACCTACAGAATGGGAGAAAATATTTACAAACTATCCGTCTGACAGGCAGTTAATATCCAGAATATATAAGGAACTTAACAGAAAAAAAAAAAACAAAACCTGATTTAAAAGACCTCAACAGATATTTCTCATAAGATGACATACCACGGCCACTAGGTATATGAAAAAATGTCCAATGCCACGAATCATCAGGGAAATGCCAATCAAAATCACAATGAGACGCTCCTCGCTCCAGTTACAACAATGAGACGCTCCTCGCTCCAATTATCAAAAAGGAGCAAGTGCTGGAGAGGATGTGGAGAGGGAGCGCTTACACACTCTTGGTGGGACTGTAAACTGATATAGCCATTATGGAAAACAGAATGCAGGCTTCTTTACAAAATTAAAAATAGGAAAGACAGCACTTTTTTTTTTTTTTTTGAGACGGAGTTTTGCTCTTGTTACCCAGGCTGGAGTGCAATGGCGCGATCTCGGCTCACCGCAACCTCCACCTCCTGGGTTCAGGCAATTCTCCTGACTCAGCCTCCCGAGTAGCTGGGATTACAGGCACGCCATGCCCAGTTAATTTTTTGTATTTTGAGTAGAGATGGGGTTTCACCATGTTGACCAGGATGGTCTCGATCTCTTGACCTCGTGATCCACCCACTTTGGCCTCCCAAAGTGCTGGGATTATAGGTGTGAGCCACCGCGCCCGGCCTAATGGCACTTTTTTTATAAGTGGTGGCAAGCGCTGAGAGAATGCCATGAAGGCCTTGGGCATACTGCAAGAATATTCGCTGCCTCCCCAACCCCAAATGCCACACAGCGCCCCTCTACTGCCAGTGAATCTCTGGGCCTAAGCAAATTGTCGCCAAACCCCGCTTCTAGTACTTTCTATCTCAACTAAAGAAGAAAAAGTGTTCAGGGAAAAAAAGTCTACCAGGCAGGTGGTCAAGAAATCCCCCTGCAAGTAAAGAACTTTGGCATCGGGGTACACTAGCATTCCTGCAGCAGCACCCACAATATGTAAACAGAATAGCGTGCCCTGACCACTGTGGGTGCTGTCACCCAGTGCTCCCAAGATGGGCATCCAGCACTGTGAGCCAGGCCTACGCCATCTAGATCATGAAGGTGGAGGTGATTGCAGCCACCTCCATCAAAGATCAGAGTGCCACAAGCAGTTCCACAATTCCAAGATCACATTCCTGCTGCCCCACCAGGGCTTGCATCTTCAGCACAAGCCACACTCCAACACCAAGAGTCCCAATACCTTCTTCTAGGTACAGAGAACTCTCGCAGGGTGTCATCAAAATAAACTCAAGAACGCCCAGGTGAAAAAAATAAAAATAGAACTATCACATGATCTAGCAATCCATTATCTCCCATGTTTAACTCAGCACTATTCACAACAGCCAAGACATGGAATCAATCGAAGTATCCAATAGCAGATGAATAAAGAAAATGTGTGTATATAATACACACACACACACACACACACACACACACACAATGGAATACTATATAGTCATAAAGAAGAATAAAATCTTATCATTCATGACAACACAGGTGGACCTGGAGCCATCATGTTAAGTGAAATAAGCCAGCCAGAGAAAGAAAAATACTACATGATTTCACTCATGTGAAATCTTTAAAAAAAGAAGTTGATTTCATTGAAGCAGGGAGTACAACAGTGGCTACCAGAGACTGGGGAAAGAAAGAAGGAAAGGAAGACGGAAAGAGGTTGGTCACTGGGTACGAAGTTACAAAGGGACAGGAGGAATGAGGTGTGGTGTCCTATTGCACAGTAGGGTGGTTATGGTCAACAGTAAGGGCTTGTATATTACAAAATAGCTGGAAGAGACGCTTTTAAATGTTCTTGCCACAAATGATAAATGCATGTTAAATGTTCTTGCCACAAATGATAAATGCATGTTAAATGTTCTTGCCACAAACAAATGATAGGTAGCATGATGGATATGCTAACTACCCTGATCTGATCATTGGACAACATACATAAAGTATATATTGAAATGTGAAATTTACCCCATAAATATGTACAATTACAAGTGTCAATTTTAAAAACTTTTTTTGGCCAGACGCGGTAGCTCAAGCCTGTAATCCCAGCACTTTGGGAGGCCGAGGCAGGCGGATCACGAGGTCGAGAGATCGAGACCAGCCTGGCCAACATGGTGACACTCCGTCTCCCCTAAAATACAAAAAAATTAGCTAGGCGTGGTGGCTTTTTTTTTTTTTTTTCTTTTGAGACAGAGTCTCGCACTGTCACCCAGGCTGGAGTGCAATGGCATGATCTCGGCTCACTGCAACCTCCGCCTCCTGGGTTCAGGCGATTCTCCTGCCTCAGCCTCCTGAGTAGCTGGGATTACAGGCACGTGCCACCACGCCCAGCTAATTTTTTTGTATTTTTAGGAGAGATGGAGTTTCACCGTGTTGGCCAGGCTGGTCTCGATCTCCTGACCTCATGATCTGCCTGCCTTGGCCTTCCAAAGTGCTGGGATTACAGGTGTGGGCCACTGTGCCCAGCACTTTTTTTTTTTTAAGAATGAGGAATTCCTAGGAAGTAGCAAACTGCTCTTTCAGCTCTGTCCATTCTGTCATCCCATGTCACTCCTATTCCCTGTCCCCTTCCTTCTTTACGTCTATTCTACTCCTAAATTCCTCCTTCCTTATCCTTTATGCAATGTATGGAGGGCTGGGGGGAAAAAAAGTGAAGGGAAAGAATGAGATTTAGAGGGAAATGGTAGGTAAGGGGAAAAGAGAAGATATTAGGCCCAGATTTAGGAGAGAAATCCCGATTTCTGAGCCAATCTGATGAGTCAGCAAAGACGACTTACCACAGTTCTAGGACTTTGGGTGGTAGCTTTTCAGGAACCTGGTAATACTGAAGAACCCAGGAGAGGACTTCTTGCCACCGATCCATTTCTGCCAGGGCCTGGATCCCCACAACACACAGGGAGCACTTCACCTCCAAGGAGCTGTCAGCAGAAAAACCAGTTTCAGTTAGAAGTGGTTCCCCTCCATTTCCATTTCCATTCCCACCTCCACCAGCTCCCAACTCAGCAGCCATCATCTCCCTCATCCCTGTTAGTATTTAGATGGGCTTCACAATTGGTCTCATGGGCTGCCCTTTCACCCAGGCACTAAAAGTTCGTGTAAACCTTTTAAGAGGCAAGTCAGCTGAATTGCTCAATGTTCATCTTTGTATCCAGGTGAAATCAGACTTAAATGAAGAGGAAGGGTAATCTTGAGGGGCAAATAACACACAGCACCCGTGTGTGGGTGAAAAAAGCTGGAACTAAGAGTCTGCTCAGTGAATAAACGGGCTTGGAGCAAGGTTTCTGAATGAGTGGAGGTATAGGAACTCCACAGCTGGCCTTTTAGCACCACCTAGTAAGGTTCCTCCAGACACCCAGAAGCAAAGCCTTCCGCATTCACTGAAATGAGCCCCCACCCAGCCCCTAAAGCACAGCCAGAGCTCTCCAGTTCATCCTTCCCTGCGGTCAGCTTTAACTTTTCCACCTACCACCTCCCTAGTACGGCCCAACCCAAGTTTACAATGCAGAGAAATGACGCCCTCACCTGCCAGATAAGGCTGGTGGCATTAGAAAAAGCAATGCAGGCCCAAGGTTTTTTCCTCCAGATTCTTTTTTTTTTTCCTTCTTCTTTTTGGTAGAGAAAGGGTCTCGTTATGTTACCCAGGCTGGTCTCAAACTGCTGAGCTCAAACAATCCTCCTGCCTCGGCCTCCCAAAGTGTTGGGGTTACAGGCGTAAGCCCCCGTGCCTGGCCCTGAATTAATCCTTTAATCCAGTCCTCCAATAGGACCAGAACACTGTTCCTGCCATGATCCCCATTCCCCATCATCAGCCAAAGTCAAGAGATAACCTGGTGGGACGGGGGTTACCGAGGAGAGGACTTTCACCACCTGCTTACCGACAGAATTTAACACTTAATACACATTCGGCCTTCCCACCATGTCATTCTGCCCTGGAACAAGGAGCAAAGAATTGGCTGTGGGTTCCCCGCTAAGCTCTTTACACGACTTCCTTATTCTGTAGAATGGGCACACGATGAGCAACCACCCTCTCCGAGAGAAACCACTGATAAAGCTCCTTGTGAGCAATCTGGGAATTACAGAACTCCTGAGACCTTGAGCCCCACCCCAAGAGCACCCGGAAATGGGTTCGTTTCCGAGCCCAGCACGTACGTGCCCGCGGGTTCCTCTGCCAGGGCGTGGTTGGCCAGACTCTGCCAGGCCCGTTCGCAGGTCTCCAGCGCCGCCCGAAAGTCCAGGTGCACTACCAAGAGGTCGGCCGCCTCCTCCAGCAGGTCCACCGCCGGCGACCGGGCCGGGGCAGCGCGCACCGGCTCGCTGCTGCGCAGGGGACCCCCGAGCCCCCGGAGTGGGGCTGCAGAGGTCGAGGAGTCGCTCTTCATAATTAGTCCGGGCCCAGGGCCCAGCTCCTCAGACGTCGGAGTGACCGCCTCTCCGGAGCCTCCGGGATATCCCGAGGTGGCCTAAGCGAAGAGGGAAAGTCCTCATCTCCTTGCCCACACCCCTTCCCGAGATCGATTCCCGGAGAAAGAAAAGGAAAGGGCCTATCTGAGGCAAAGGCTGGGCACGCCTAGCGGCTGCGGAAGCAATTTACACATCGGATCTGCAGGATTCTTGCATCCCTGAACTACCTGGCCCTAGCTTCTCGGGCCCCGCGACACGTGCAGGAACTGCCTCAGCTGTGGGATCCTGGTTACGAACAAAGACTCTCTCACCCGGCAGCCCCACAACGGGAGCGGACATCTTTCGCACTCGCCCCGCCCCGCGGACGCGCGGCGGCGCGGGGTGCTCTGGGAGTTGTGGTTCCCCAGCTCTAGGATCTGTGATTGAACCAGGCGGGAAAGTGCGGACTACAACCCCCAGCACGCCGCGCCCCGGAAGCCGCCCCCGTCCCGTGAAAAACAAGCTGTTGCTTCAGCTTCGGGGTGGGGAAGTCAGGGCAGGTGGACCCCTCACAACACCGAAGCTGTCTTGTGAAATGGAGGGGTCCTCACTAGCCAGTTCCAGCGGAGGTTGACGGAAGAAATGCCAGCAATGGATGTGCAGCTACATGCACGCTTCTAATTTAGAGCTTCTGCGGCGGTGGCGATCAGGGAATCTAATCGGGGCTGAGGCAGAGCTGATCAAACATTCTGGCAACCTTAGTCTTGGATTGATTCACACTTTCTCCGCGTTCTCTCCGGAGTTTTCTGTGGGGGGATGAATATTGCCTGGTGAGGCTGAGGGACTTAGCGTGGAAACCTTCACAAAGAGCACTAAGAACATGTTCGTCCAAAGGGCAGTGTTCCAAAATGAATAGTGACCCCACCGACGCGGGGCTGGGGCGCCGAACATAGGGCCTCGTTTTCCCTCTGCTCCGTGCCCCACCCTGGATTTGTTGTTAGAAAAATCTGTGGTTAAATGCAGATACCAATTCTACCTCCCCAGTGTTGCCACTTCCAATCTGTCTTCTCCGTTTTATATTTCTCTTTTATTTATCGCCATCTACATACTAATGTCTGTATTTTACTTATTTTTTTGTCGTCTCTTTCCTTCCACTATGATATCAGCTCAGGATGGCAGACGTTTTTGTCTCTTTCGTTCACTGTGGGAACTTCGTGCCTTGAACAGTGCCTGCCACCTGTAGGTAGTAAAAAAGTATTTGTGGAATAAATGAAGTCCTGGCTTCACTTTTATCTAGTTACAGGGTCCACATTTCTCTTTCCTCAGAGTCTGATGGACTTGGTTCTGCCTCAGCTTCCCATGCAGACTTTCTGCAAGAGGATGGACAGCCCAGAAGGTGGGTGTGTGTATGTATGGTGACAAGGGCAGGGGATGTATGATGTGAGCAGGTGCCTGTCTAATTTCTAGGGCAGCAAATGATTCTAGAGAAGTTTTGGAGTGAGTTCAAAGAGCAGAGAACTGGGAAAAAACCAAAACCATGATGACCTAATACAAATGAGGGAAATTCGGCCAAGTCCAGATGAAACAGCATATAATAAGTGTGATTTATGGGTGTGTGTAAGGTTAGTATAGCCACAATTTACCAAATACTCTGTTTCCAGTACTTTACTATAAAGTGCATGATTGAAAGTACGGTTTTGATTTTCACAACGTTCTTAGCTTACGAGCACGTGTGTAACTTGCTCATGGAATGACTGTGAGTCCCTGAATAGAAGCATACTTAGCTTCGTCCCTGCAGACCAGAGCAGTGGCTCAGTGAATGGCTTTAGCCCAAAAGAGCCTCTGTTTGACTGAGATTTGTCACTTGCTCGTTGTGTGACCTCGGGAATTTATTCAAATAAGCTCTGATTTCCTCACCTGTAAAATTGGGATAACGGTTTGTCCGTAACTCTCAAAGCCTGAGGGAAGAATTAAGTAAGATTGCGCACAATGCACCAGGCACGTTAAGTACTGAAAAATGTGAGCAAGGCCTGGGAAGACGGAACATGCTCAGAAGCGGCCAGCTCTAAGTGGCTTCTACCTGGTAAAGTCCCTTTCCTAAATCCCTAACAAATTTCTTGCTATTCCAAATTTGTCCAGGAGATGGACGCACAGCCTTCAAAGAAGCAGCCTCGCTAAAAATAAATTTGCCTATTTAGTAGTGAGACAGCCAGAATGAGGTCAAGATATCTAAGGCAGAAGAGAGGAGAGCTAGAAACCATATAAAAATGTAGTTGTATTTCATTTCTGATTCACCCATTTTTCAACTATTCCTCGGCTGCATATCAGTCCATATGTAACCACTGTTTCGCACTATTATGCTCACAAATGGATTCCTCAACACACATCCACTGGGATGCATCATCTCTATGTCTGCAAGTACCCAGAATTTCTCAAGCGAAGACACAGAAATCCCAAACAGAATTGAATTCATTCCCCCTGGGAGAACATGAACGGGAATTATTTTTACCTAGCCAACCTCTCTCCAAGTTGGGGTTCATGGGACAGCCTTTGAAACCACCTCTTCTTCTCCACTCATTTCCTCATCCTTGGTATAAAAAACACAGTGGAACTAAGGACAGTCTTTTCAGATGTATAAGGCCAGGCCCATATTAATATGTGTATTGTTAGAATTGTTTCATCTGGGGAAGACTAGCTGAGCACCTGAGATGCCAGTATCCTCATTATGATCCCTCCCCTAACCCGACCTAGGCTCTGGAACTTGGGGCGCTTCCTTCCATTTGGCAGAGGGCTCAGGGTTGCTCCTTCACCTGAGGACACAGATTTGCTCAGCCTGCTACAGCAGGGGATGAGTTGATGTTTTTGTAGCAGAAAGCACACGGGACTGGAGGTGAGAGGCACAGTTCGAATCCTGGTTCCTTCAGGCCCCACAGTGTTCGTGCCTGTAATCCCAGCACTTTGGGAGGCTGAGGCGGGAGGATTGCTTGAGCTCAGAAGTTCAAGACCAACCTGGGCAACATGGTGAAACCCTGTCTCTACAAAAATTAACTGGGCATGGTGGCGCATGCCGATAGTCTCAGCTGCTCAGGAGGTCAAGGCCGCAGTGAGCTGAGATCACACCGTTGCACTCCACCTGGGCAGCAGAATGAGATCTTGCCTCGGTGGCTCAAGCCTGTAATCCCAGCACTTTGGGAGGCCGAGGCGGGTGGATCACGAGGTCAAGAGATCGAGACCATCCCGGTCAACATGGTGAAACCCCGTCTCAACTAAAAATACAAAAAATTAGCTGGGCATGGTGGTGCATGCCTGTAATCCCAGCTACTCGGGAGGCTGAGGCAGGAGAATTGCCTGAACCCAGGAAGCGGAGGTTGCGGTGAGCCGAGATCGCGCCATTGCACTCCAGCCTGGGTAACGAGCGAAACTCCGTCTCAAAAATAAATAAATAAATAAATAAAAAATTAGAAGCAATTTAAAAAGAATCCTGGTTCCTTCAGTGACAAAGCCAGATGACCTCTAGAAAGTTGCCAGATTTCTTCATGCCTCAGTCCTGTCATCTGACACTGATACCAACACCTGTGGCATAGGGTGGCTATGAGGAGTGGAAGAAACCATGTGACGGGCCATCGCACACTGTCAATGACTGGACTTGTTCAGGCTGATTTAAGGCAAGAAAGTAGAAAGAATCTTGGCCAGGTGTGGTGGCTCACGCCTGTAATCCCAGCACTTTGGGAGGCTGAGGCAGGCAGATCACAAGTTCAGGAGTTCGAGACCAGCCTGACCAACACAGTGAAATTCCCTCTCTACTAAAAATACAAAAATTATCTGGGCCTGGTGGCACAAACCTGTAATGCCAGCTACTCAGGAGGCTGAGACAGGAGAATTGCTTGAACACAGGAGGCAGAGGTTGTCGTGAGCCAAGATTGTGCCATTGCACTCCAGCCTGAGCAACAGACCAAGACTCTGCCTCAATTTAAAAAACAGAAGAAGGGCCAGGCGTGGTAGCTCACGCCTCTTAATTCCAGCACTTTGGGAGGCCGAGGCGGGTGGATCACGAGGTCAAGAGATCGAGACCATCCTGGTCAACATGTGAAACCCCGTCTCTACTAAAAATACAAAAAATTAGCTGGGCATGGTGGCGCGTGCCTGTAATCCCAGCTACTCAGGAGGCTGAGGCAGGAGAATTGCCTGAACCCAGGAGGCGGAGGTTGCAGTGAGCCGAGATCGCGCCATTGCACTCCAGCCTGGGTACCAAGAGCGAAACTCTGTCTCAAAAAAAAAAAAAGAAGAAGAAGAAGAAGAAGGAATCTCATAGCACCCCAAAGTTCTGTAATACTACTTTCTGATCTAGAATCCAATTTTTGTGTGTGTGAGACAGGATCTTGCTTTGTTGCCCAGGCTGTAGTGCAGTGGTGTGATCTTGGCTCACTCACAGTCTCTGCCTCCTGGGTTCAAGCAATTCTCCTGCCTCAGCCACATAAGTAAGTGGGATTACAGTTGTGTGCCACCACGCCTGGCTCATTTTTGTATTCTTATTAGAGGTGGCATTTTGCCATGTTGGCCAGGCTGGTCACAAGCTCCTGGTCTCAAGCGATCCACCTGCCTCAGCCTCCCAAAGTGCTGGGACTATAGGCATGAGCCACCGTGCCCAGCCCTGGAATCCAATTCTTGAGTCTTCCACACAAAAGTCAAAAATGCCCACATCTGGCCAGTCCCAGTGACTCATGCCTATAATCCTAGCACTTTGGGAGGCCAAGGCAGGAGAATCACTTGAGCCCAGGAGTTTGAGACCAGCCTGAGCAGCATAGCGAGACCCCATCTCTATTGGAAAAATGTTTTCTAATTAGCTGGGCATGGTGGCACGCACCTATAGTCACAGCTACTTGAGAGGCTGAGGCAGGAGGATCACTTGAGCCCCAGAGTTCAAGGCTGCAGTAAGTCATGACGTGCCACTGCACTCGAGCCTGCAAGCCTGGGAGACAGGGCAAGACCCTGTCTCAAAAAAATAAAATAAAAAGCCTACGTCTGAGGTTAACCTAGCCTGTCTTGCCCTCTCCACACTGGTCCCACATTTCAGGCCAATAAACAGCATCCACCGCTGCCCCTTCAAACCTCCCAACCAGCCAGAGCCCCTTAGTACAGGGACACCTGTGGCAAAGCTCTGTATGCAGTATGATCAGACTAAGGGTGGACCTTTGGCCGGAAGTGAGCCAAGGAGATAAATATGGGTAGGGTGGAGATGGTGTTTTTCCAGGATGGTCAAGGCACGCCTCCCTTGCTCCAGACCTTTATCAGTGGGACGGCATTTTTATGGCTCTTTTTTAAAGCCTGGACTAGAAGTGCAGGGCACAACTCAGTGCTTCCCGTAGTGTTTCTTTCCACATAGACACAGCGGAACTCTGCTTCTGTATCTAAGAAGT